TAATTTCAATCTTTTTTAAGAGCTTCTACAGTAATGCTTACAAAAATAAATTTTCTACGCATAAACATAAAACCATGTTTGCGTTTGGTTTGACGTCTATTAACTATGCTTTGGTATAGTAGGCGACTTGAACGAATCGGTTTACCTCGCACACAGAACACATTTTGAGGCACAAAACATAGTACTGCTTACAAAAATAAGTATTTTCTACGCGTAAAATAAGAAAGTCTTACCTCATTAATCCTAAGTCTTTGCGCGCTAGTGCAACTGAGGCAAAAATTTGAATCTGCGCCTTATACGAAGACCATTTAAATTCCAACGAGATGTTGAGACAATAAGCCAGTTGATAGCTTAAGAATCTTTTTCAGTGCGCATACGATTTTATTCCCAATTTCTTGACTTCTTTTGTCGAAAATTTCTTTTGTTCTTGTAGTGAAGAATATACACGATTAAGCCGTGAAAGTAGGCTTTATTCAAGTAAACCATGTGCTTACACAAACATGGCCGTCGTTACAAAACGTGAGATTCCGCTGACCTAAGGCAGGCACTTACACAGGTAACCCAACAAGTAGTAATTACTAAAGAGTGTTTTTGTTAATGTTTGGTACATTAATCACTATTATCAGTACAGTTCTTAATTAAACAAAAGATCGAGGAAGGAAACTCAGGATAAATTGCATGCACACTGGTACATGCACTACCTCATGCATTACCTCATGCACTATACTTTTTAAGTTCAGTCTTTTTAAGAGTTTATCTAAACTAATGCTTACGAAAATAAGCATTTTCTACGCGTAAATATAAGCATCTCTTACCTCATTCAGAGTCTTCGCTGCAACTGAGGCATTAATAATTTAAATGCTGCACCTTAGTTTAAGAATCGTTTTTATCAGCATATTTATTGGCATATTTAATAAGACCTTGCTTACCCATGAAACAAAGGGTTTTATATTTTAATACTATGATTAGATCAGTATTGAATTATGTTAGTACTATACTGTGATAAGGAAAATCTAGGCCGTGTTCTTCAAGGGGCGCTTGGATGAAAATCAATGAAAATTGGAAATGACTTGGAACTTGTTTAAACTTATCTATATGGCCCATATAGTAGTCAAGCAACATGACTGTTTCCTTCACAGTCAAAAGTCGCGGAAAAAAATGATCAATTTTATTCAGCTTATAAATTGTGAGTAAATGACGTCATTTACTCAACCCTATTGTTCCTTCTGCTTTTAACCCAAAATATCTCAATAGCACCCAGACTAAAATTTTCACTAATCTGATTTTTATAATTGTAATTGAGTCATATTATCTTCGAATACTTCAATTATTCGGACTTTCAAAAATTGGGGTGTTTTCATCCAAGTGCCCCTTTAAACTGCAAAAGAGAGCAGCTAGGGTAATTTGTAATCAGGTCTCTAGCATTAAACTTTTTAAAATGAATTACAGTGGCTTCCCTTTTATGAAGAACCCAAAATAGCTAAATGTTGTCTAGCTTATAAACATATTAAGGATAAAGTCCTGACATACATTGAGGATTGTCTAAAGCTTTATAGTCAGCATCCCCGGGGGGAGGGGGGGGGGGTACTACCACCCCAACTTGGGTAGGGGTGTGCCGCCAGGACCTCAAAACCCTGACCCTACCCCAGACCTAAAATTTTGATTTTACATACCCTACCCCAGACTAAAACTAAAAATTGTACACCCTATCCAAAACTAAAATACGGAAAATACGGTTTTACAATCGATTGCAAACAACATTTACTAGCATTGTTGGCAGAAAGCATAGCCTATTTGCCAGACAAAAATGACCAAATCGTTAACCCTATCCCAGACTAAAATGATACCCTACCCCAGACAAAATGTCAAAAAATGATACTCTACCCCAGACCCAAAAGCCGAAAAACCATACCCTAAAGGGCGGCACATATCCGTATAGCAAATATAGGGGAGTACCCCCCCGGGTCAGCGTCATAGTCCTACTACTAGGTACTACTAATTTTATCTAAAGAAGTTTTTATCTAAAAARAGGACAATAGCAATGAAAAATCAAATAAACAAGGGCTAAAGAAAATCGCCGTCCTGTACAGTTCTCGAGGCGGATTAAAGTTTGAAAGCTTTAAAATAATTCAATGAAAATGAAATTTTGACATCTTGTAGCCTATATATTGCAGTCAATATTGACTAAATTCATAAAAAATTCATCGAGTAGATTTGAATTTAGGAGCATGTTAATTAACATAACACAATAGTCCAAAAATACGGCTCATACCCAATTTAAGTCGACCTAATATTTTGAAATATCACATGGTACGATTTCTATACAATTTTTAACCATTATTCCAAAGTGATTTACCAACTTCTTTAGATAAAATTAGGAACACAAAACTGAGAAAATAAACTACTTTTCCACAAAGTTACTAACATGTTTTGTTTTTGAAAATTTTTTATACTTTAAAACTTCAATATGAAATTTCTCGAAAATGCTCATACAGATTTTCTTCAAATTTTCTGTACCTTGAGCAGATTGCTTATCCTCCAATATCTCAAAAGCAATTTAAAAACCTAGGTCAAAAAATGGAGAAAATAGGCAATGAAGTAAATGCACCAATGCTTAACAGCAATCTTATATTAATTCCGATTCCAGTAAAAACATGCTCATCCGAAAATTTCATCTTTCCTTTGAAAGCTCTAAAGAAACTTTTTAGTATTGGATTGTTTGCGTCCAAGTATTTGTGATTTAAAGTTGCATGGTATCAGGCGGATAAAAACCCAGTGGAGCCACCTTAATTACCACTATTTTGTACTATTTAGTAATTATAGGGTTTCGTGGATTATTATCATTTGCACTTTATTATCTTTTATTATATAGTAAGGATAGTATATAAACCCTGATTGGTTAAAAACTGTGCTTTATTTTACAGAGCATGCAAAAATCTGTTGTTTTTTTGTTGTTAGATAATGAATAATAATGATGGTGAAATTCTCTAGCTTCCACCATGACTTCAGTGTCTATGTTAATTCCTTGCAAAACCAGTTTTTAATACTCATGCATGAAACTCTTCACTGGAATCATTTAATATTAAGCAGAAGCAATTCGCTTAGTTATTTCATTCCCAGCCTAGCCACATGTGATTTGAGTTGCTTTGATTTGTTGTTGTCTCTGACTTGCCACACTGGTTTTTACTACAGTTTGCCTCCCTCTAAACAAATCAATATGTGAGTTTAAGTGTTGTGTGCTGCAAATAGTACATAAATAGTGAATGTAGTGGTATTGTATAAACCTTTGGAAATCTTAATCCTCTTACAGAGAGTGATGATTTATCAGATTCTTTTTCAATTTTATTATTCTATTAGTTGTGCATGGTTATCCATGCAAGTGACACCTACAATATATAATAATAACTGCACTACATTATACCAGACAATAAAAACTACAGGTACTCTAAAACTGTTTTATTCAGTGACTTATTTAGAAAAAAATTACTACAAAAGACAATTTTAAGCTAAATGAACAAAAATATAACTGCTTTGAAAACTTCAAGGGTGTAATATGAAGTGTTGTAATGACAACATTGAATACTCAGGAACTTTTCTAAACAGTTTTGCAAATTTTAATGATAATACGCAAGTCAGATAAATAGCCAGAACTTCAGATGACTTGCTAAATATAATGATCATAATATATGTCAATGCTACAATAATAGTACATTAAAATAGATAACATATTTGAAGCCATTGAAAGGGTCTTTGCAATAGCATGTTAAGGAAAATCCTTTCAAGCCTTCTTGATGATTAGTTTCAATAACATATTTTATACAATTTGCACAATAAATCCTTATAAAAACAATTGCAGAACTATGGCAATCCAAGACCAGACAAATCAGTGTCTATAGGTGGTAATTCTACATTCTCCATAGAACTGCTTGGAACATTACTTGTGAGATCGCTCAGGTCATTAGCAAATTCAAACCAATTAAAAAATAAATCTATAAAAAAAAAAAGATTGTTAAAATGCATATAGGGTTAGGGTTTATACTACATATAATATTCTTTGATATCTCATTCCTTTGTGGAGATATGCAAATATAGGTTTACGATGTGGTGGCATCATCATAGGTACAGTAAAAAGTCAAATCATCAAATCTATTCTGTAATTTGACTTTTTACTAGGTACCTTGGATGATGTCATAATTTCAATGGCAGATATCTCATCAAAGAAAAGAGCTATGAAAGAATTGTAAATGCTGTTCTTATTCATCTTATGAGGACTTTCAAATCAGGAAGGCATCCTGTTGGGCTTAAATGTGACTTTACATATAATGTACAAAGTGAGAAAGCTCAAATGAAAGACTGTAAGGTGTTTTTTTAAATACTGCTATCATTTCTACCTGTTTCTGGTCTTGTATATGCATCATCTCCTGTTTTCAGAACATCACTTTCAAGGCTGACTCCTGGGTTAGTTACAGGTTGTAGACATCCCCTGTATAGCTGGCTGACATTCTTCAATATAGTGTCAATTGCTGGGCCTCTGGGGAGTGGTCCTTCTGCAATCAAATTATACAATTACAGTAACATTAGCTCTATTTTGTGTAACCTACTGTAAAGGGTTTCATTTTTTTGGCTCTATTAATGGTCTTTCATCTTCAATTATAGACCCTTGACAATTTGACAAAATGCCTTGCAAAACATTTCATTTCCAAAAAATTGGCCAGCAGTGTTTCAATGTCAACTTGGAAGTTTTTTTAAATTTCTTCAACAACAATTCACATCTAATTTTCCTTTTTTGTTTATATTTCTTCTTCACTCTTTCACATAAGATTATTATTATCACATGGTTAGAAATTATGCTTATTATGGTTACAAATCCGTACGGCCCTGCTCGAAACCTGCGACCGTATCGACATAATTTGCAACTTTTAAAATATCCTCTTTATTTAGGGTCATACGATAATATGCTTATTGACTGAGTTAGGTTGGGCCGTACAGGAAAATATTTGGCTCTCGGTCATTTGTACTGACCTTGCTGTGCTTGGTCCGTATGGCATCACCTTGAGCCAAATATTTTCCCATACGGCCCTCCAATTCAGTTAATAAGTACATATTATCATATGACCCGGGCGGCTTTGAGCAAGCAGGGCCGTATGAATCTGTACGGCCCTGCCTGAATCCGCACGCTTTCTCTTTTTTAGCTTTTATTTACTATTTCTTTCTTTCTTTTATTTTATTATTTTTCTTTTTGTAAAGGTCATATGATAGAATGCTTATTGACTGAGTTAGGTCGGGCCGTCCAGGAAAATATTTGCCTCTCAGTTATTTGTACGGCCCTTGCTGCGCTCGCTCCCTTCGGCATCACCCTGAGCCAAATATTTTCCCATACGGCCTGACTTAACTCTGTCATAGTAATTCTGTTATAAATATTTTTGTAATTTATTTATATGTGTTAACAAAACAAAAAATCAAAATACTATTGTCATGTTGCTCTTTCTAAATATGCCTATGATTTTGTCAGTAGAGCTCAATTTTTGGGCATTAGTGTCACCTACAAGACCAGGTCCTGCAAAGTGCCTATTATGTTATGACTTTCAAAGTTGATTTTCTAAAATTCAAAAATTTTAATTAACAATTAGACTCAAAGTCCAAATGGTCTATGTTTCATTATCTATAAACCTATCAATGGTCTATGAAAAATCCTGCACTCTGATTGGCTGAGCTACTAGTGGTCTTTAAGTGATAGACCAATGGTAGTGAAAGCGTGATAACTAAATTATTTCTACCTATTAAAGAGTGAAGTCATTAAACCATTGAAATAGATATAACACTAATACCCTTTAGAGACCCTAATTCCATTGTTTTTGTTTGTGTCTATTTGTGTCTACTATACACCGAATCGAAATATGGTGACCAATTTAAATAATTATTGTTCTGCACTGACTAGCCACTGACTAGCCTCCTATACATGTGAAAATGCTTTTATGTTTACATGTGAACACGAGGCTAGTCAATCGCTTGTCAGTGCAGAACAATAGTTATTCAAATTGGTCGCCATATTTCAATTCGGTGTATGTGTTGACTTGTTTTTTCTTATTGCACAGGTTAAATGCTTTCACTCTATTCCTAAATTGTTTGTGTCCATTTTTAAATACCAATTAGTAGCTAAAATTTTTACACCTCTCACTGTCATGGTCTACCAGTCAATAGCCAATTTTGGCCTTTGTCTTAATGGACAATTGACTGTAGACCATTTGGGCTGTGGGTCTAATACACCAGTTTAAAGTTCCAAATCACCATTGTGATCTCATACTCAGGGTATGCCTCATTCAATGTCTGGAATGTGGGATTTTGCTTTCTAATTTTCATCGAAATGTGAATACATTCATAAATAAATGAAAAATTCAAATGTATTAGAATATGTTAAATATGGTCATCACTTATAATATCAATGTGGTGGGATGCTGGATTTCATGACAAAATAGGCCCTTTGCAGCTCTGTAATCACATGCTGATTAATTCCCTGAGAGCGAATGAATTAACATTTTGATTCCCATGGTATGAAATATACTGGTGAGCAAACAAATTTTCTACAACCTGTTTTGAGAGATTGTAATAAAACTGTATTTTGTAAAACTCTGGTTACACATCATTATATTCAGTTCTTTACAAGTAGCTAAAAAGAATCGACCATTTTAAATGAAATAAAACATTTTGCTCACCAGTACAGACACGTGACTGTTAACTGCAAAGGGCCAATTGTGATCTGGGACCCCCCTCCCCCCCTTTAAGAACCTGAGTTAGGGTTAGTCTAAATATACTAATTGCTCAAATAATTTGAAAGAAACAATTTTAAAATTAGGTTTCAAGATTTTAAAATGCGAGTTAGGCACCATTGTTTTGGTTTTCGAGACCAGCACTTTTCACTACCAGTAGCCGGCATTTTGCTAAAAGTTGCAGATTAAGCCATACAACAATTATCCTAAGTTATTGTTAATGTACACATAATTGGCAGTTTGTAGATAAAGAAAATATTTACTGGTATTCACTATTACCTTCGTCGGTGAATGGAACCATATTTTCTTTTTTGAAATAATTTTTCTCCACGAGAGCTGAGCTCTTGTCACTTGTTGATACGTCACCTCTGACTTTAAAGGCTTGTTTCTTGTTTTGCTTTAGCGATAACGAACCGATCTGCTTAGACAACGCTTTACCATGGGGGGTACTATGAGTCATCTTTTTAGCACCAGGAGTTTTTGATTGCAAAAGATTATTTTGATGGCTAGGCTTAAGCAAAGAGGATTTTTTAGTCACATTTCCTGGAGTCATTAAAGTGTTGCCAACATCCCCAAGGGCACGCCGTGGTGTAGCAAGAGGAGCATTATTACCCGTTGAATTAAAGGATTTCACTTGTCCAAAACTTCTTGCTGTGATTATAAGAAGAGAAGTAAAGGTTAGCATTAAAATAATAAAGTGTAGCACGAACAAAGTGAAGCTAGTACCTTGCACTCCATTCTTTACTCTTAAAGCTTGTTGTGAATTCTCTTGATCAACACAAGAGCGTATTGAAGTAACCGAAGCCATGTTGTGTCAAACTTGAACTGACCTTGGAAAATAATAAGTTTATTGAAGACTGTGTCACTAACGAAAAGAAGTAAAGTACTCCTGTGCAATCATTTTACTTACGAGGCTTGGAAAATGATCGTGTTTTTACAAGGGTCAGTAGAACAGAAAATTCAAGAATGGCGCTTTATTGCCTTTTGCTGCTCTCGCATACATAAGCAGCCAATCAAAATGCACGACCACTATTGAATCGATTTATTTTCGTAATCACTCGTAACATCTTCGTTAACATATCGTAATAATTTTGTTTCCAGTCCACTGTCTCTTTCCACTAAGAAGCCTAATCCAAGATGGCTGCCGGGGGGGCAGGAAAGGGAGATTCTATTCTTTACGATCTTCTTGTCAACGCAGAGTGGACTTTGGAAGGAGAAATTTTGGTATGATGAAGTGACAATATCTCTCTCCTTAAATTGAATGTCAAGGAAAATATTGTATACTAGAAATAAATCTGCCATTTATTTTTCTCGTTGCGATTGATCTTACGTGGCAAAAAAATTCATGGTTAATATGCTTCTTTTATTATTTATTACTATATCTTATCTATTATATAAGAATCATCTTGAAATGCTTACAATTAAGTGAGTAAAAGCGTTTGAATTGCAAGAGTTTATTTTTTATTTAGATTTTATTATTCTTATGTCTTTGCATCACTTTGATCAGTGCTTAATTTTTGTAAACTAGATTGTTAATAAAAGCTGTATTTTTGGTCGTAGAAGAAACCAGGATCTGATCAGCTGCGTGGATCTCTTCCAAAAAAATGCTGGACTGTCACTCAAAGTAAGACTGAGTAATGTTCTATAAATCTAATGGCATTTACTACTCCATGGTGGATGACAGAAAGCCTGAAAAATTTTACAATCCACCTGATAAAGCAGCTGATAAAATGAGTTATGCCCTCATCAATGGTTTGCCCCCAGAATGGGGGGAGGGGGTGGGTGACCCCAGGGGAATTTGAATTTGCTATTTTCTGGATTTTTCCAGATGTTAGCCACATCAAATTCTCAATTTTTGAGGCATAGAATAATGTTAGTTCCTCACAACCCAAAGAAAATCTCTCAAATCACATTAGAGAACTAGCAAAAAGCTCTACTAACACTTGCACATAAGCCCAGGAATCTAACCTGGGTCACATTTGTAAGAGGCAGAGCATTAGCAGTGTATACCAACTGTTCTTATTGATTTCCCTTAGCATTGTATATCTGAATGACTTCAGAGCATCAGTATTTTATACTGTTTTAGAGATGAAAACATTTCTTTAAAATTTAGATTCCATAACATGGATTTTCAAAGGAATGCAGAACATAGTGAGGTAAGTGTGACATCATCATTTATGCACTAGGATGGAATACTAGATATATGTGTAAAGCTAAGTAACTTGTATTGCTAAAGAAAACAAACCTTTACATATCTAAGTCTGCCATAATTTTGGAAAAAGGGTCCTCAAGCTCAAATGTTGTTTCAAATGTTGTTCTTGTAGTAGCTATGTCAACAAATGTTGGGGTAAAACTGAAAATTCTCATAGCAATTATGAAAGAACATCTGCATTTACAGTTATGATCATGCTATTTTATATATTTCTTTTCTGAAGTGGTTCTTCTATGATCAATGGAATCCCAGCCCAGTTACACAGGATTGTGAGTGGAAATAGTGGTTGGAGTATAGCACTTTCAAGGTAGAAAATGCAACTGTAATTATAATACCATAGGATTACAAAGTGCTTTGTATTTATAGTTTTAAAGTGCCTATCACCCTTATTTTTTTACTTTTTTATATCGAAATATAAGCTATTCTAAAAAACGTGTCGAAAGAATTTTTTGATTCTGACGCTTCTTTCTATTTTTTTTCGAGCGGTCAAAAGTGCGAAAATAGGAAGGTTACAAAATATGACTGAGCGAGAGGGGAGACTGGGCTAGTGACGTAGAAGGAGCAACACGCTCTTCTTGATTTACAAAGAAATGCATGGGATACTGAAAACGTCCTTGCGTTTCTTGGGGTTTTTTAGAAGTCCTAAATGGACTTTTAACTACTTTCTTGGGCTTCTATGAGGAAGTTCATTATCTAAAGATTCCATTTCCAGTTCTCATTGGGATTCATAGCCTAATTTACTGGTATATTAGTGAAGCGAACACAACCTAGCAAAGCAAGCGAGGTGAAGGGGTTCCAACCTGATCACAAATATTATCTCATTGGCTGGGAATAARACTTGTCAAAACCTTAGTAAATACACTAAGAGTACAGCAGCATAAATAGAAATTCCTACCTGGAAATTCCTAGAGTCGTTATAGGGAACCGAAGTTGATAACAGGTAACATTTTACTTGCGATTGCTTGAACTGAGTCGTCTTCGCTCCAGATCGGGAATTTATTCCCGGTTTATTAAAGAATCAAACAGTTTTAGTGAGTGTGGTAACAATTTAGTGGTTATTAAACTCWTAAGAAGTATTTAGTGCAATGCTAAAATGGCTGTAATGAATGGTTGAGACAAAATACCCGTACGATTGACACAATAATACTAGACTACTATTCACAATATTTTAATTATTTGCTACCTTAGAATGCTCTTCAGATTTTTTACCTTTATTGAATTTCCCTTGATAGACGATCATTTTATCTTTAAAGATAGGTATGGCTAGATACTGTGAGACAGGATAGAAAACTGATAGAATAGAAAATATTATATTAGACTATGAAGTGAAACCATATTGACCTGCAGAGCAACAGTAGACTGATGATACGAAGTGTCACTCACCCTTACATGTAGTTCCTCGACTGAACTACTACAGTATAAATATATGATGCAATTCATGTTTAGATATTTTGAAAACTGTTAAGCCATCTACAWTGAAAAAGATTTTGTGAACTACCTGGAGTTATTTCATTGTTTCTGTTATTTACATTTGATGTTTCTGATTTGGAAACGACCTGGAAGAATTTTGTGCGTCATGGACTCACATATTCATCCATAAATACATGAGATATTAATAAGAATAATGCTAAAAAATCTATGACTTAAAGGGTGTAGGTACATGTAGTACTCAGAGTTACTATATGTGAAATCTATAAGTTTTTGAAGCTAATTTATTACACTTGATTCTGAGCGTGACAGCCTAATATTAGGTTTTCCCTAGGTTGCGTTTAACTTCTCACTGCTTTTCTTTTTCTTAAAATAATCAAAAATAATATCATCCCTGAAGTCTGAAGTAATTAACATCCTTTCACCAGAAATATGAGGTCTTTTGAAAGCGTAAAAAATGGCAAATTGGTCATAAATACTAGTGAAATCTAGAGAGAATGAGGAAACATCTAAACCCAACTTACTCCTCTTACGTCACAGCCCAGTCCTCTAGGTTATCATTTTACGCAGCCAGTCAAAGAAATGCCTATTTTCACACTTTTGACCGCTCGACAAAAATAGAAAGAAGCATCAGAATCAAAAACTTCTTTGGACACGTTTCTTAAAATAGTTTATATTGCGATATAAAAAAATAAGGGTGATAGGTGGTAGCATTTATACAATGATTATGCATATAGTAATTGATAGAAAATGAAGTACACTATTAAAACTAGACTGGAATCCAGTCAAAATAGCTTTTTATTTTCTATACTGTGGTGCATGTTTACAGTGATGGAAATCTTTTGGCTGTGTTACAAGAACAGTGCATAGAAATAAGGTAATACTTGCATTTCATCCCATTAAGGAGATTGAGTATTATATTGAAATTTAATTGCTCTGTCCAACTTTTCTTTGTTATAACTTTTTTTACTGTCAAGGTCTCTAAAGGATGATTTTAATAGTGTAGTTGCAAAGTGTCCTGGTAAGTTTTTACTACATAGCAGTGCTCAATTATTGTATTTTGTGTCATGCAATTTAACTGATTTTTTTCATAATTTTGGTTTTTGTACTAGTTGAAAGAGATACTTTACCACAGTGGCGGCAATTAGCTTGGAGTCAGGATTGTTCAATGCTGGCCTGTTCATATAGGTACGTATATCTCTGTTCACACACTGAAAACATACAGAATGTCTCTTCCCTTTAATTATGTCAAGAATAAAATGTCCTACCCTTACCCCTTTTGCCATCAACCAAGGAAATTATATATAAACGCATTGCAATGGCTCATTAGGGAAGAGACATGGATATTTATCATATTGTAATAAAATCTTTGGAAAAAGTAATGTGAATGGGGGCTCAATGGTTGATGTAGGCAAAAGAACATGTCCAACACTCCTTGTTTATGCCTGCTATATTACTCTATTTTAGCAGAGTTTTTTTATCCTTTCCTGCATGAAAATTGGTCATATGATAAAAATGCTTATTGACCGAGTTAGGTTGGACGACGTCAGACAGGACAACATTTCGCTTTTGTCCATTTGTACAACATGACCTTGATTCAAAATATTTCATATCATACGAAACAGCAGAGAATATCAGTGTCAGTATCTAAAGTGAACAAATCATATTCATCATTAAAAACAAGATTTATTAAAGATGTTCAATTCTGCTTGTTTTTGTGTATATTTTAATATTAATGAGCAATGTGGAACAAATTCCACAGACCTGAGGCAAAAGTGCAAATATAACTTTCAACTTGTTATGATGTTTGTTGCTTTGATTATTTCTTTTATAGTTGGGGAGAAGTTGCCGTGTTTGATCTTGGTGGTGAACTTCTCTTTACTATTCCACAGGTAATACATACATGTACATGCTCATATCACATACATTGTTAGGCACTCATGTGGCCAAATTTTAGAATGACACAAATCTTCAACTATGCTATTTATCAACAATGACATTAGTTTATATTACATGAATTGATCACTTTAATAGTTTAATTGATTGAAAATTATTGCTAAACTAATATTGGACTTCCTGCAAATCTATATGCCAGAAGAAATCTCTAATTAAAAAAAAGTTAATTTGTTTTGCCCCCATTAACTGAGGCTTCAGGTGCAAGTCACACGTAGCCCAAGTACAAAGCTAATTAACATCTTAAGGTCACTGAATATTTGATGAGATTACATTTACAATTTCAAAGGCTTTGAAAATATGCATACTCAAAAACTTCAACATTTAAAGATCAAACTTTTAAATTTATTTTGTCAAAAGATATATCATTAAATTAGACTGATTCCATAATTCTGTGTTTTCGCTCACCTGTTGATTCTGGATATGGCTCACACACCAACTAAGTCATTGCWTGTTTCATTTTGATTGACGTTACCACTATAGAGTGACCTCCAATCATGTCGCTCGTTATATATTTTGAAAATTTTTAGCCAATCACAAAAGGTGTCCTATGGACCGAAATAATTCCCTGTTCAAGAGTTTGGTTGTGTTTGTTTTGCTGCCATTTTCACTGTCTCATGAAATCAGTTCATATAATCAGAAGATAAGATGGAAGTCATTTCAGAACAAGCAATTGAGCAAGCACTACAAGGAGGTATTGGATATGTACATGTTTACCTTCCAACGGAATTTGAAACTGAATTGTTTTTGTTTTTGATTTTTGACTGAATGATTAAGATATTTCAGTTAAAGGCTGAAAGATGCATGAAGTAAGTCGTTTGTAAGAAACAAGAAGTTATTGCAGTGTAAGAAGTGCTAGCTTTGAATAACCATTGAGCTATCAACAAACTTAATCAATAAAACTTAAACAATCTTATTGATCTCTACTTAATATCTATATTGCCTGGATTGATTCTATCTTCTAAATGAATGGAAGCAATTTTGTTATTGATTTGTAGATTGCTTATCGTATGTGTTATTCAAATGTTGTTACATTTGACCCTACATTTGTGAGCTCAATAAACTCTTACCATAACTCTGCATGTTTTATTCTATTCCTTTGAAATGTAACTTTATTATTTTATATTTAATAGACAATTAGTAGACAGAAAGCGTGGAAACGCTAAAAATATATAAACCTTCTAACAGCTTGGAGGGAATTTTGCTCCTGGCTAATTAAATATACATGAGCCTCTTAAATTAGTAAAAGTGAGATAAGTTGTTAGCTGAGTGAACCTCAACCCACATAGGAGTGAAAACTATGACTTATGGAATCAGTCTAATCATTGAATTTATAGTTTGATAGTTCATTTTCTGTCCATGCTGTGACGAGAAATAAATTTCCAAAGTTCGAAATGGCTGGTTATGGTGATTGAAAATAATTTGCAGTGACCACCCAGGGGGGAGGGAGGGGGGAAATATTCAAATAATATACAAAAGTCCTGAGGGATTTCAGAGATTTTAGCTCAGTACAAACTTTCATCACACATGCAAACTTGATGCAATAGATAATGAAGCTGAATATACACCACCATTCTAAGCAATATCATCTTGAAAGGAAGACTTCATAATGTCTTTAGTTCAGCTCACTTGTTATTTAAGTTTCATTTCAGTTCAGTGACTTACAACACCATCAGCAATAGACTGTCCGTGTACATATTACAGCTCACAGCAGTCCACTTTCTGTCAGAAAGGTCTAGTACTATATGTTGGATATCTAGTACATAAAGTAATTGTTGTTTTTCAGTGTTTGACAGGATCAGTAAGTCTTCCATCTAACCTTAGTATGGCAGTTTCTGGTTTAGTTTTTATAGACCACAAGAACAGCCCACAATGGTAAGATAAAAAATAACTTCTTTGCCAATGCATCAACATCAGAAAGGTTGATGTTTGTTACACAATTTTTAAGAAAAACAAATTATGTCTGATAACAAACAATTTATATTAGTTTATTAGTTTTTGCTGACTTGACATTGTTGTCAGAGAACGACAAAGAAATAATGCTTTTTCTAATACAAAAAAACAAAATCAAATTGTATACCAAATGTGTAATGTTTTTTATTTAATATGAGTTTATCTATCAGGTCTGCAGAGCTCTTGGTAATAAATTATGATGGTACTCTAACCAACTATCTGGTCAGGTAAAATGAATAAAAGTACTCATACTACAGCAGATTGTGGTTAAGTGTTTTATTGAAACATTTTTGGACAGGTTATTGAATTTTAAGATTTCTTTTTCAGCCCAACCAATGGCTACCAGGAAAATCATACATTTTCGTTTACCAATATCTTACACCATGGTGTGTACTGTGTGACATATATCGCCCAATTCAAGTTGCTAGTTATTGGCAGTGTTGCTGAAAGACATGGGGATACCTTTCTAGGTAAGCTTAAGCTAAATTACGTATAACTTGTCAGTATATATGTGTTTTTGTGGTAAAACACAACACCAGTACCCCAGATGTCCTGTCAACCAATGTCGGCAGTTAGTATTAGGCCATTTTCTTGCTATTGCAATTTCTGTGACAGCCATCTCCAACTTGGCATAAGGATCTACTATTAATAATGGTTGAAACCAGTATTTGTGTCAGTAAAGGAGTCCAATTTATTTAATTGAATGACTTATAAATATTATTATATTATATTATATTATATTATATTATATTATGAAAAATACAGGCGCACATTAAAAATGATATAACATGGGTCCCAGCTACACATGATCATGACATGATCATTGGAACACTTGTTTCACAGCTGCATTTCTCAACTGTTTAACAGCAGTTCGTTGACCAGCTGCCAACCATTTAATGGCTGTTTGTTGTGATTTCATCATAATCAACAGAAGAAGTACCATCAGCATTAGACTGTGGTTTATCTGCATGGAGAATACTGTCTGGCTTTCCTTACTACAAGCAAATAGAAGATAACCATATTGATATTCAGGTACTATGAAAACTGGATAAATAAATAAATCCTGCTAAACCAAATATTTCTCATTCTTCATCATATCATGGTTTCCTTAATGCACCATTAGCTCTTATTTTTTTCAAGGCTGGTTCTGATATGTTTAAGAGGATCTCGAAGCTTTCATTATTCCATTCAGCAGCAGGAAAGGTATCAAATATTACTGAAGCTAACTTTACAACATCTTTAATATACCAAATAAAAGGTAGTGTATTAGTGATGTACTTGCCTCTTGGGGTCCCATGTGAGCTGACAGTTTGCTTGATTTTTCCTTTGATTTGAGGGTTTTCATTTAGGTTTATGCTTTAACTCCTAACATGCTAAATTTCAGGATTAGATCTGTAAATTAGCTTTGCCCTGACTTTTTATCAGTCCAAAGGTTGTTGACAGAGCAGAAGAACTCTTTTGGCCTTTGGTTTAAAGGATATCTCCTAAACTATATCCTTTTTTATGTTCTACATTTTGTAAGCACGCTCTTACAGTGTAACTACTGTAACTGGGGCCACTAAGACAGTTAGACAAGAGAACTATTAAAATATAGAATGAAAACAATACATTCCAACTTTGGGTAGTGGAGCCTAGCAGAAACCTGGACTGTAAGAGAATTGTAATTTGACCCTGATGTAACATTAAAACAACTAGACAGCCATCATCATTCTCTTGTGGAAATAAATAGAAAGTTGTGGCCTTGATGTTTTTCTGCTCTGCACAGTTGCAATTGGTTCTAGCAATTTTAAATTCCATTTGTTGTAGGATGGTATTTTCCATACTTCTCTTTCACCTGATAAAACAAAGCTTGCTGCAGTACATATATCAGGAATGTTATCTGTCTGGCATGTACCTTCTCTAAGATACAGTAATGCTTGGGGTCCAGATGATCAGGTATGCAATAAATCTCTAAAATAAATATTAGTCAGTAAGTTTTGTTTGTTCAGTGTATACTGTTCTTTTGTAGCCATCTGTTGAAAACCCTGAAGACGAGCTGGCATTCAGTGCTTCAATGATGTTGAAAACAAATAAAGGTATTTGTAAGTTTTTTTCTAAAACGAAGTATAATAATTTAGTAATGAGAAATGAAATATGTATTAAATAATTAATGAGGCTGGCATCAATATTAGATATGAGGCAGTCAGCTGTAGGCATAGTCCTGCTGGCCAAAGTAACTGTTATATATAACTACTATTCAATGTCCTAGCCCATTATTTTCCTTCATGTAGAATAATTTAGGATTTCTCTTTGAAATAGAATATACAAAAACATTTTGAGACAATCTCGTGCCCAGAGCCTTTTACTCTTACTGCGCATACTCAACGAAATATATAGGCTCTGGAAAACTCCATTGACTGAAAGCCAGATTCTGGCTATTTCGCACATGCGCATTATCAAATTTAAATCAGAAGTTAAGCCTACCAACTGACAAAAAGAAAATGGTAGACTGTTATGCCCTGAGGTCTTTATGAATGCCCATTGCTCTCAATAGGATGGGCTTTGAAGATAGCTCAGAAAGGAACAACATGGAGCCATTATTTATATATTAGTTGGGTTAAAACGATTGTTTAGTTGCGTTGCCAACTGGATACGGCATATCGTAAGTATATGTACCTAACCCTAAACCCTTTTTTTCCCCGCTCGATCCTTCTTAAACTTACATATCTTTAACATTTGGTTCTGTAGTTCACAACGGCAACAAATTATTGAACTATCTGTGTGTGTTTTTCGAATTGTACTCCTTGAGTTTTGAATTATTTACATTCAAATTAAACTGTAATGTAAAATATTTTCCTAACAAAGGAAATAAAATTGAATTACCAAATACAAGTTGTTGTTATAATATTTTTTCATACAATCCAGTTAATGTGCAATATTTCTGCTTAGCTGCTCAGAATCTCCATTTTGTATCAAAGTAATTTTTAATTCTGGTTTCTTCCTTTGTTATCTCTGGAACCAATCACGAGGTAGGAAATAATGTAGTTTTCTGGAGCCTTTTTTTTCCGTTGAGCATGAGCATTAGGAAATAAAGGCTCTGCATATGAGATTCGATGAGACAACAACATTGTTTGGATTGCGCATCCCACATGGATCGAGGATCATGTTTGGAATAAGAGTGCAAGTGGCAAAGCTATTTTATTTTGGTACAGCTGCCTGGATTTTTAATAGGCTATATGTTGCAGTATTATTAATGTTGCTGTCTACTTAATAATGATGTAAGCTATTTCGGCAGACAGCATTATTAATAATATTGCTTTGAGTAGACAACAATATTAATAATATTGCTATCTACTCAAAGCAATATAAATAATAATATTTATAATAATATTCATGATATCGCTGTCTGCTGAAATAGTTAGCAGCACTATAAATGATAATATAGCATCTGGTATGATTTTCTCAACAATCGTTGATATAGTGCAGCTAGAGAAAAAACAATAGGCTGTGGCAGTGAATAGTAAATAATACTGATTTAGTAATGAGAAATAGCTAAACAAGGGGCTTTGTTCTAAATAGACCCGTTTCGAATTCCAAATTACCGCTGTGTTTCTTGATTACAGACTCATTTGCACAGGGTTAGCATCGAGTTTGTGCAGAATATTCATGTGTTCCAGTCAAGGTCCGTCAAGTTTCAAAATGTTTGTATTGTTGAAGTTGTGCATTCTTTACTTTACCATTGGTATTTGTGAATATTTAAACACTGATACAAGGCTAACCCTGTGCGAATGAGTCTGTAATCAAGGAACACAGCGGTAATTTGGAATTCGAAACTGGTCTATTCAACATTTACATTTCAACTGTCTGCACTATCATTTTTTTTATTCATTCATCAGGAGACACATTCTTTGGACTAACAGATGCCAATTGGTGGTCACAGGAAGTAAGTGGGTCATTATAATTCACTAGTATGTTAATCAGTGTCAGGTCTTGTGGGGTGTGTATGGGTCATGTTATTCACAAGTATGTTAATCAGTGTCAGGTCTTGTGTGGGGTGTGTGTGGGTCATGTTATTCACTAGTATGTTAATCAGTGTCAGGTCTTTTGTGGTGTGTGTGTTGGTCATGTAATTCACTAGTATGTTAATCAGTGTCAGGTCTTGTGTGGGGTGTGTGTGGGTCATGTTATTTATAGTATACATATGGCTCTCATAACTGGCTGCTACTAATTTGAATAAACCTTGAAAATAAATGTTTTTGGAGAGAAAATCCTTTTAGATAATTGAGCTTGTTGATTTAGATGATATATGTGAGTTTCTAATGAAGGTAATAAATCCTTGCTTAAAATATGAGAATTTGAAGTTTTACAAATGCACCAAAACTATGCCACCAAGGCTTCCAGTGATAAATACATAAAACTTTTTTTTGATCTTTCATAACTTCTTTGGTATTCAGTCAAATTTATCAATTTTTTGGGAAATAGTTTTCACGAAGTACTTTATCCAATAGCATTGAATGCTTCTGGTAAAAAGGACTAATTTTCTCTATTAGAAAACTGAGTCATGGGAACTGTGTTTTGTTGATCAGTGGCAGGTTTTTCATTCACTAGTATCTTGATCAATAGGTCTATTTTCCATTAAATATGTTTTAAGGCTTTGATACTTGCACACAGTAAAGGAGCAGTAACAGTTTCATGTTTAACTGAAAGGTAAATCTATTTTAATTTTTATATTCCATTTTTTTTTCTTTTTTAGCAAAAATAACCATGGGGTTAACACATTTAGTTATTACTAACATAACATCAACCAAATGATTTTTAGCTTGTACAATCTTCTTGGTCACTCTCCTGAGTGGTGTGGACCTTGGCCTCACATAACACAGGCTCATCATGGTGGTTTTCTAATTCTTGAGGTAACATAGAATAGAATACTAGTCTTTATTTAAAGTGCAACTAACCCCTTATACAATACTTTCAGTATCGATTCTGCGTGTGAATAGTTGAATAGTGAAATATTTGAAAAGTTGCATCTTTAAGTTATGAAATTCAAGGTTTATACTACCACTGACTGTGACGTCACCCCAGGCTTTTGAGTGTATTTGTTTTCATTTTTAATACTAAACATTAGCCATTATAAGACATCAGATTTACAATAAACATTTTGGAAACCTTGAGTATAATGATTCTTTTTAAAAACTGTTTGTATGAACCAGTCAAAATTTGTATAATTCATTAAGCCTGGGGTGACATCACAGTCGGTAACATATTGAAAGTATAAACCTTCATAACTTAAAGGCACCACATTCAAGTGAAGAAATGTTTCACTATTCAAATATTTCTTTTTATGTAGAATCAATACTGAAAGTATTGTATCAGGGGTTAGGTGCACTTTAACAACGTGTCACTAAGGAGCTTATATAAACTTGTTAAAATATGAACATATACAGATATTCAATTTGCAACTAAATTTTAATATTATTTCAGTGTGAAAACTCTATTTCTAAATCTCGATCTAAACTATCAATAACTAAAGACAATGAAATGGATTATAATGAAGATGATGATGATGATGACAGTGACGATGATGAAATAACTCTTGGCCAAAAAACCAGAGCATATGCTAAACAGGTATAAAATGAATTCAGTTTACTACCAAAATGTAGATAAGAGTAAATGGTTTGAACCCAGGTGTTGAAGTTTGGTGTGAAATGTGATCGTCCAGGTGTGTATAGTCTTGAGAAAGACTGTTGTTGGTGGTGACTGACGTTTCGACAACCTGAGCAGAATTCATCTTCGGAGTCCAGTGACTGAAGATGACTTTCGCTCAGGTTGTTGGGACGTCAGTCACACCTAAAATGTAGTATGTTTTGGTTGTTTATAAGAAAATGGGAAACTCATGATTACTTATCTTTTATGCTTCTTAGGTATTATTTTTTCTCACAGAAAGTGAACGTTTTCAACCTCCAGTCAAAAGACCAAAGTATGTCAATATGTAATAACTCGATATTCCTAGGGTTTAAAGTGCTTATAAGCCTTTACACAATATTTTCAGAATTGAGTCTTTAAATAGTGAATAGTTGATTGTGAAAATAATTCGTCATTTGAATGTCGGGTCTTTGAGATGCGAAGGTTTATATTTCCAATATGTTAATGACTATGACGTAACATAAGGGATTTGAGTTATTTTGTGGCAACTTTTAATATTGAACGCTGGACATTTTTTGAAAACAAATTGTAAGAACCTTTACGTGAGTCACGAGTAAAAGGGTGATGCTTTTAAAATGCTGTATTCCAGAACGAGTGCAGTGTTGTATATTAAATGATCCCTTATGTTACGTCATAGTCATTAACATATTGGGAATATAAACCTTCGTATCTTAAAGACCCGACATTCAAATGCAAAATATTTTCACAATCAACTATCCACTATCTAAAGAATCAATTCTGAAAATATTGTGTAAAGGCTTATAAGCACTTTAAACCCTAGGAATATCAAGTTATTACATATTGCTATATGTTGTTACTATTTTGGTCAGTGTGTAAAGAAGTTTGTAAAATCATAGCGACAAGAATGTGATACTACACAATACTAGAGTGTATACCATATATCTATGAAAAGCTTTGTAAGAAATTGCAAAAAATTGCACAAATTAGTAAGTTCTAAGTGACAAAGTTAACTAACGAAATTGTACAAATTATTTCAAAGTTTTTAGGACTACGATCTACTGAGGTCTACTGAACTTTCTAATTTGTGCAAATTTCTTACGTTTTTCACGGATAGTGTTAGATGCACTATAAACCGTAGACCTACAAATCTTTGCACTAATTTGTACAATTGTGTTAACTTGTTCGCGGATATATGTTATGCACTCTATGATGATCAATGTGCCATTACATGTGCATATACCATAAGTCGTGCTGTATGTATAATGATATTAAAGGATTGGTCATCGATTAGAGTGCATCCATCGAGTTTTTGTGCATGCGGGAGGCTGCTAAGCACGAAGGAAGCGTAAGAGTCGTACGAGGCGTAGCCAAAACCAAAAGCGTTAAAAAGCAAAAGCGTAAAAAAATCTTGGTTAATCGAGAAAAATTCAAATATTCTTTAATACTGAAATCTGCACTACATAAGGCGCGCTACTCAATTGACGTCAGCGTGCTCCATCGGTTTTTGGATGCACGCTCGCGCACGCTAATTATCCAATAAGAGCGCGCGTTATATCGTGGCTAGGTTATAATGTACGATAATACTATATACACTACTTTGACGATCAATATACCATAACATGTATATACCATAATTCATATGAATAATAATAAAGTATGATAATATTTATTTTTGAGCATTGTTTTCAACTTTCATGTTTGTGTGTATTTTGTGTTATAAGAGTGTTATATCGCACTTACCGACTGGTTTGTATCCGTTCCACAACGCCAGAAGAATTGTACTCAAGAAAGGTAAGTAAGGCTGAATCATAAATTCCTGATCTGTCAGTAAAACTTGTCATAAATCCACAAAATGCATTTTAATAATTTAAAAAAGATTGAGCTAGAAGAATATGGAGATGCTTTGGTACTTGCCCAGACATATGGCTTGGACAGCGATCTTGTGTATCAGAAACAGTGGAGGAAATCAAGAGTATCTGTGGCCTCTATCCACGATTATCTGGTAAGTAACACCGTTGGAAGAACGTGGAAGGAAAAAATAATACCGTAGTATTGGCACTAATCCCGACACTTATATACGAAACGTATTGCTCGACAACAGGCCACCGGAATAAAACAACACTAATAAAACTGACGCCCAATCACAGTCCAGCAAAACTAGATTAAATTCTGCTTTGGCAACATTATGTCGTTTGACGTGGCTCGCAACCTTAGACTGCCTTCGATATTGCGCGCCATGAATATTGTACTGTATTTTCGTAGCTCAAATCTTGGGAGTGAAGTATTTCATTTATTTTATAGTGTAGAAAACCCAAGAAATCTTTTCCAGTTCGTGTAATAGTCGTGCGTCCCTACTACTATACTATGTCAACTATATTTCTTTATGTAAATAATTTTTAATTAGAAGATAAACACTCATTAACTAAATATCTCTTATTGTCTATTGATGTTGGGAAGCCATGAAGCCATGTCAAATACTTCGAAATATTCTGCAATTAAAGCAATCGTTTTCGGTATATTCTTGTTTTATCTTGTAGAGTAAAGTTAAAAATCGCTTGTGGGTGCTTAATGAATGTGTAGAGAGAGTACCTGATACTTTAGATGCAACCAAACAATTACTGGAGTATGGCCTGCGAGGCACTGATGCAAAGGTGATCGATGCTTTGGGAAAGGGAGAAAAAGACATTGGATTCATTATTACAGAACAAGAAAATAGTGATGAACACCAGAAAACTCTAGAGGAAAAGCGACAAGAACATACTAGGGAGATTGAAGATTCACTTGATTTTACAAAGTATGTAATAGAAATATAAATGAATGAGCTTTGATGTGGTTCACATGTAAAAGACTTGCAGTCTGTGCCAATCAGCTGACAGGCCATTTAAAAAAATTCTCATGAGAAATAAATCACGTTATTTTTGTTTCTTTCAGTTTTAATCTTGAGCAGCGTGATGTATGTCGTTATCGTCTCAAGTTATTAAAATACCTTGATCGTCTATCCACATATGAAGCTATCTTAGGTGGCCCTCATATCGCACATGAGGAATATTCCAAGGAGTTCTTCCAAGGCTTCAGAGAAACCAATGTAGTACAGGCTGCAGTGCAGTATGCAAAGGTGGGTTATGTAAAAGCTATTTTCTCTGCAAGTCAGCTGTGAAACAAATCCTTGCGGAACTTTATTACGCTTTTTTAGATGCAAGCGTGACTCGTAACACCTAAAATTCCGACGTGTCATTGGTTTTGCATTAAAATGGGTGAAAGTTTTCGGCCTCGTGTGCGATATTACGCCGTCCAGGCAGGACTGGTGTAACGGGAGCTTTTTAGAACAGGTAAACTTGACCATTGCAACACATAAACACGTCATTTATGGTTAACTAGTCCAGGTATTCATTCATGTTTGTGTAGTGTATTTTTTTTTTTGCTGCCACACTTAAGTATTACCCAGTATTTTGATAATCAAATGTCTTTGATACGTTGTCAAGCCATATCACCTAAGCGAAAAATCATTTTATACATCTTTATCTAAATTTCTGTTCTTCTGTTTTCCATTGTATATCCCTAGCGGCAGTCACAAGAATTAAGAATTAAGACAGGTTTTTGTATTTTTTCTTTTAAAAGTCAACGCTTACTCAAAAGTCGTGGAAACTTGCTCGCCACCATTTCACGTGCCAACGGTCTGAAAATCAGGGGGGGGGAACGATGATACATTCAACTTTATCTTCGCTCATTCCCTGGTACAGTAAAGCACTGGATTCGCATGACTGTTACTTTGGCGCGTATTTACTATTTTAGGTGACATCAATTAAACATTTATCTAAATTATATAAATTGATTTACCTTTTCAACAATCTGACAAAATGCATTCTAAGAGTCGGCAGAGTTTGCAGCACCAATGCCAAATTGGACCAGAACTATAACGTTTAGATGGGCCCCTGGTCTGGCTGGAACACTGGAAGTACCTGCATGCGACCATTTACGAGGAATACTAACCAACATGTTTCATCTTCAGGATGGTGAGTGGGAAGCACTGGATGCTATCTTCACATACCATGGCTTACACACTCTCCCTCATAGATTAGCGATTTTGAGTAACTTTTCTGAAACRAAGCCACCATCAGACTATGAGGCTCTTTTACCCGAGGTTAGGTAAGGTTCACTTCAGTAATGTCTTGCGTTGTGTTATCTTTTGCTTGAAGCACCAGATCAGTCCTAGTTTACTGTTTGGAAATTGTCATATTTCTATTTCTAATGCATAACTTGTAGTGAATCTTGCAAAGACGTCTTGCATTGGGACCAAAGATGCTGGAGGGCAAGTGATTGGTGTGAGAAAGAAGAGTGTAAAAAGATGCTGAACTGGGGAAATGAAGGAGACAATGGAGATTTTTTGTATGAAGAAAACCCTCAATTGGAAGTATATAGGTAAGACTGGCTGACACTTGAAGTAATGACAATAATAATGATAACCATGGCCAATGATATTAATAGAGCACAAACGCTATGCCAACCACGTTACTCATAGCTATGTCTTCTTTTCTACAGAGTTAAGATGACACCAGATTTACTAACCCTGTGGTATAAAAATAGAGCGTTAGAAATCGAAAGACTATCTAAACAAGTAAGGACACTTACTACATAAACTTTGCTGATTTAAGCAATCATCTCTCTTTTAATAAATTTATTTTGTTCTGTGCAGGTCTCAAATTCACTAGCCCTTATCAAGCTGGGTAAAGAGAAACATATTCAAGTAATGATCTCAATGATGTTTTCTTTGTTTAATAATAATGAAGGAGGGCGATATCATATAACTCTAGTAGAGTCGAAAGCTCAAAGTGTGCTTAACAGTTTTACACAGTACATCAAAAGTTTAATTCACTGTATTGATAATGTAATGTATATCTGTCATACACTAATTTAGTACCCTTTTATATTTAAGGGTCTTGATATTTTGTACGATGACCTCCTTATTATGGAAACACTCATTTATGAGGTAAGATTATTGTCCTGACTTGTTGATTGTTCCTTACTTGTTAGTTATAYATTGTATTGTTGTTATTATAGTGTTGTACAGATGTACATCTTGGCCTAGAGGATTTCCAGACCATGACTGATCTGGAGAAACTACGTATGATACTGGCAAAAGTAAGTAGAGTCCACCTGAAATGAAAAACATCGATGTTGATTGGTCTTTAATTTCATCATATATATATATATTTATGTTTTTTTAGTCGAGCCAAGTGCATTTTGTTAAGGACTTTAAGCGTTGGGCCTTACCATTCTTGAACAGGATGGATAAAAGGAATGCTGGTTCTGAAAACCGTCTAATCCATCAATATCTAACGGACATTGCCAAGGTAATTAACAGTCACATCATACACCAAAAATTGATGATGAATGCTATAAACTTGATTCATTGACATGTTTTAGAGAACTATCAGTGATGTGACTTGGTTAAGAAAAGTTCAGATCGTTGCACTGTTTTGTTTCCCAGTTGTTTGATTTTCTTCATGTCAAGTCTGACCTTATGATGAATGATTACATTTGTGAAAAATGAAAAAAATAAATCATTTTTCGCTTAAGGAGGCTCTGGGTAGTTTTGGTCTTTTTCGCTATCACGGCTGCTTGTTGATTATTCACGCTTGACTTCCGTGTTATTCCTTGTCGTGTGCTGTTAGTTGTGAGCGTACTATGTACTTATTGACTGAGTGGGAGGGCCGTACGGGAAAATATTTGGCTCGAGGTCATGTCGTACGGACCGAGCGCAGCGAGGTCCGTACAAATGACCGAGAGCCAAATATTTTCCCGTACGGCCCGA